CTTTTCAATTTGTGGGCGTGATGTTAAGTTGGTGCCCTCAGCAGACTATGTTGTTGTTTTTATTTCTTCTACCTTTGTCGTACATGTCTATATCAATTTGAGATGTTGCGGGTTGAGAGCCTTTTTCCGTATTGTACATTTAGTAAAAGATATGTTAGATGTAGAAGTCCACAAGGGCATAAGAGCATGATAGGTAATTACCTGAAATTTGTGCCCCACAAATGAATACTGCCATCTCTGGTGCCTATAATTAAAACCGGAAGACTGGGATGGGAAACAACAGAAATAACCGAAGACTTGAACTTTCCAAATGTTTGGACACATGCTTTTGTCCGCATGTCCCATATCTGATTTGAAAAGGAAATACATTATCAGCAATTCATATATGTGAGTACTATATTAGTGTACGTTTGAATGAGATAGCAGACCATGGCAAACTTATCACTAGAGCCAGTAATCAAATACTGCTGATTATCCTCAGTTGTGAAGAAATCCACACAGTTCACTTTGTATGAATGCCCATCCAGAATATAGTTAGGTTTGAGTGAATCAAGACTCCAAAGCTGAACACCAAGTATAGAAGTTTGAATCAACATCCAGTAAAATGAACATATATCCTCCTATTGTCAAGATTCAATATAGAAAAATTACGGCAGCAGAGGAGACCAAATCTTTACTACATTATCGTCTGAAGCACTAGCAAATATGTTGGTGTCCTTTGGGTTAAATGCAAGTTCTAATTCATTTGTAAGACAGGATATTTTCTTAAATGTTTTTGTGCACTCCCAGTTCTTGTCCCAGTCCCAAAGCTGTATGTACCCACCACATGACGACAACACGTACGGCTGGGTTGGATGAACAGCCAGTGAGTCGATACCGAGGAAGTATTTCTTAACACGAAAACTCGTTATTTTCTGCACCTCCGGTTTATAGTTATACACATAGATTGTGCCACTCTTTGACCCAACAATAAACCACTGTTTTCGTTCAATAAATTTAATGATTTTAACTGCAGAGAGAATGAACATCTTATTAGCACGTCAATGTATATATGATGGATGTAACTAATGCTGGAAAAGAAAGTAGAGAGCATGCCTGGGAAGAAACCATCTTCGATTTTAAGCAAACACATCGACTTCTGACAGAAAATAGAGAAGAATTATATGTCAGTCCAGTGTAAACAGAAGCACCATACCTTTGTCAGTACAAACTGAACTTCATGTAATGACCCTTTACGTTTTTCCCATCATATCCTAATAATTCTCATGGCCTGGATAAGCCATATCGACATGAATACAATCAAGGCCTAAGAGATGCGCGCCACAACCATATATACCTTGCCTCCACCTCAAAAATGTACTTCCTCCTAGGTTTGTTCCGAACATGTCGCGCAAGTGAGAGTGGGAGAAGAGGGCGCTTGGGTTTGGTGCATTTTCAAAAGATATCAGGGTTCCGGGGTCATCCCTTATGGAAACATGCAGAAAAAAGAGATGCACTATACAATGTACCTGAGTTTCATGATATCTTGGCAAAGAAAATACTCCTGAGTCAGAGCGTAGGTAATTTTAGGCATTGCATGATCTATAAGGTGACACGGTCTATTAACAAAACAATATATTGTTGGAGCCTCTATAGTTTTCCAGTCAAAAAGTGACATGACACTTTGACCATCAGTTTTTAAGAAAATAATCTTGTTCAAATAAAGTTAAGAATACACGGTAAAAGTTTATTTCATAATGGATCCTGCAATACCAATTTATTTTACTATACTAATGATCGAATGTTTTTGCTGTCGCTCACTGGGAGTACAATGTTGTTGTGCAATTATGCGGAGGCTATCACCTCAAGTGAGTACGACCTGGCCCCTATGGGTGCCCTGTTCTGTGAGGCCAATTTTCTGCTGAGAGTGTCATTCAATGAGTTTAGAGTTGTATACCATCCACGCTAATGTAATAAGCCCGCCTATGTATTAGCTGGGTTGGGGCTTAGAGGTGCTCAGGGTTATCACCAAGTGTGGTC